GCACATTCCCAATATATGCAAAGCTCTGAGTTCAATCCCTAGTACAAAAAGGAAAAAAAATAAATAAAAGAATCTTGATCTCAGCCTCCCATATAGGGGGATGACAGGCATGCACTATTGTGCCCAGCTGTTGGTTGAGAAGAGGGTCTCATGATCCTAACCCCCGCCCCAATCCCTGAAACTGGCCTCAAACTAGGCTCTTTCCTATCTCATCCTCTTGAGTGTCTAGTATTGTAAGTGTGAGCAACCATGCCCAGTTTAAGGACACAGTTTTCAATCTTGAGTGTTATAAGCACAAAATTATATTCTCAGCCTGTCTTAATAATCAGAGAAAGTATTTGTGCAGTTATGAACTTCATTATAACAGTTAAATTATAATCCTTATAATCCGTGTGAGGACTGGTAACTCTGGGTGAAAATACATTTTCTTGTCATAGAAAACATTGCTAATGTTTTGGACTAATAGTGTTATAATAATATTTGTCATTTATAAAGCATTTAACAAATTTCCCAGTGATTCAATTTTTTTTTAAATGTTAGTAAGATGTTTTTATAAAGTATGTGTATAAGAATATAGGAAAAAAGACAAACTAATGTGAAAGTTAGCTGAGTATCAATGATAAGACTTATATCTTAGGTTTTTCAAAAAATACTTTTCTTTTGGGGAGCATAAATACATAATCTGGAAAATCATATGTGAACTCTCCATATAGATATACCCATATATGTATATGATTATGATTTTAAATTATGATTTTAAAAGAACATATTCCTTTTAAAATGGTTGTGAGGTAGATTATTAGCAGGACATAGGCTGAACATGAGTAAGGCCTTGAGTTCAATGTCTAGTACCAATAAAAATAAGTAAAAAAAATGTAGAGCAAAATAACACAAAACTGCTTTTTGGTGAGTTCTTAGTGAAGCATTCTTCCAAATATTGGCAGAGCAAGAACTGTTCATCTTTTCTTCATAGAGAGAAAACCTTTCAGATACAGTTGTCAGAAAATTGAGAGTTATCATTATAAGCTTATAATCTGCTTATAGCATTAAAAAGGTTTTTGAGGTGATACTGAGTGATTATGGAAGTTTCTAAAAGATAGAAAATTAGAGGGAAAAGCCCACCAGAATCAAAGTAGGACTTCATCCTATCTTCTAAAATACCATGACTTTTTCTTACTGGTGTTCTTTTTTGTTTGCTTGTTTAAAATGAAATTTGTTATATGGGATTCTTTGAAAAGAATGTGAATTCTTATCATTTAGACTGCCTTCCTTATGGAATTAAATGTCAGTGACATCAGAACATTGTTAACATTAAAAATATCAGTATTTAAGCATAATTCAGCAACATAGAAGCAGTTTACCAAGCTATCATCCTTAATATTTGGCATTCACAGAATTCAGTTGTCTATTTTAACTTACTTGATTCTTGAACACTTGAGATTGACAATGTTTCCATTAAAAATGGGAAAACTTACATAACACTATGTGTTAACTAGAGTTGAAATTGGAGTGAATTTATTCCAATCTTTATAGCCTTGCTTGAATACTATCTAGATGTTGAACTAGTTACAGAACTAAATAAGATACAGTTTCCATACTTTGTATACCTGGGCTTCCCTGCTTGATGATCTGCTTGAGTTGGGCAGCCATGTAATCAGGAGCACCAACAACAACAACGTCTGTATCTGGACAGAGGTGACTTCAGTGTCACCCTATTGGGGAGAACTGTTTAGCACTTCTTCAGAAAGTGTAATCTCTTCCAAGTAGTATGTCTGTATATATGGCCAAACTTGACTACAATAGAGTTCCAGTGTGTGAGGGTGCCTGAGGTTTCATTGCTGATTACAACCTTTCTGCTTTTGTGTAAGCTCAAAGGTTGGGCTTGAAATCAAGCCTTAGGAAGAATTTTAAAATTAGATAATCAAGTTTCAGCCTCCAGGCAAGAGATTCCCAACCACTACAACCTTTCTAAGTAACTTGAAGTGATGCCCTGAAAATTGAAGTGCTCTCAGAGGCCTTTGAAATTGGAATGCCTTGGCAGTAAGGACAGTAAATTGGGGGAGTGAAGGCTAATATTATGTCCTGATAAACTTGATAAGCAGCCCATCTTGAATTTTCCAAACAGTTAACAGACTGATAACCATTAGAACTGGCACTTCATGTGGAAAAGGAAGGTGAGGCATGTGGTATGTCTGGTAGTTGGATACTTTCCCAGTGATTCAGCAGTTGCTATTCCAATTAGAGAGCTTCCTTCAAACTTTTATTGTTTCCAGTAGCTGCTGCATCCAGCTAAAGTAAGGTGAGTTGTTAGCATGCTAAACATTCTCTCCAGCATTTATATATTTATATAAGTATCAATAATATTTATATTAAATGTTAAATATTACTTATTGTAATAATATCTAATATATTATACTAATAATATTTAATATAAATATTATTTATACTATTAATATTATAGGAGTTTTTTATATACATTTATTAGTGAAGAAATAAATCTGAGATACACTGAAGTTTTTGGATTTTGGTTTTCATGGCTTCTGTGTTGGGTGATAATCTGGGGGGAATAATTTAAGTTCTTAAAAAAGGCCTCCCTCACATTCTACATTTGAACTGAAGTCTGGATCATAAAAAGGTTGCTATCCCTGTAAAGATTCCTGAGAAGACAGAAAACATCAAGGTTACTAACCTTCAGTTAGGAATGAGTTAAAGGAGGAGAGGTTGTTGGAAGGGAAATTGGAGGGATCTCAAGGATCTTAGGTCATAGAAGGCCATGGGAGTACTGGGAAGAATTTTGGGTTTTACTCTGAGCAAGCTGGGGACCATTGGAGGACTTTATACGGAAGGGTGAGGTGATCTAAGACAGTTTCTGGGACAGGTACTGGTGTCTCATGCTTATAATTCTAGGTGCTCAGGAGACGGAGATCTTAGGATTGCAGTTTGAAGCCAGCCCAGGCAAAAAGTCCCTGAGACTCATCTCCAACTAACCACCTGAAAACCAGAAGGGGAGCTGTGGCTCAAAGTGGAGAGCACTAGCCTTGAGCAAAATAGCTCATTGACAGTACCCAGGCCCTGAGTTCAAGCCCCATGACTGACAAAAAGAAAAAGAAAAAAAGAAGAAGACAAGTACAGTACATTCAGAGAGCAAGGGCAGAAGCAAGGATACCAATTCAGCAGTTACTGTCATGGCTCAATCTAAGTAATGACAATGGCTTGGACCAGGGTGATGATGACAAGAATTAAGAACTTATTGTAATCAGAAATTTTCTGATTTCCTATTTTTTTAAATGCCATCTTTAGTATTAACAGCTTTACATTGAAATCTAAATAAAGTAACATTTTGAACTAGTGCATAGTTCTGTAATTTCTAGAGGCCATACTTTTCAAGTTAGTGATGTTTTTGACAATTAAGAAACAATTTTAAAACATATTAAGCTCACTTCATTTGCAAATCTATTTACACATGGGTCTGGTTGAGGTAAAAAAATAATAAATAAAATTCAGGAAACAGAAACTATATTTTCATGTGTTTATTATGCAGCTCATTTGATACAGAGAAGCTTTTGGTCAGTCCTGTGTGTATCATCAGTTGTATGTAAATTATTCTGTGATCCACTGAGTATTTCCCTGTTCTTAATTCTATGAAAGTAGAATTATATTTGCCTTCCAGAATATAAATGATGCCCAAAAAGCATAGTAAAAGTTCAGGTGCTTCAGTGGTAAAGAGGAATTTTCTGGTTTGTTGGAAGGCAGCATGTTTTCAGCAGACATTGGGTGGTATTATAAGAAAAACAAATCAAGCATCCATAGTACAGTACTGAAATCTGAGAATGTGTGAGTTTTCTTCAACAGTAATTAGTCTCCTTGGAGTCAGTGTACCTAAAGATTCCATGAATCTACTGTAATTCATTTGATTGCTTTGTGCCTATTCTTCCTAAATCTATATTATATATCAGGGTACTTGCCAAATTTTGTTTATACTTCTTAGAATATTTATTGTTCTACTCTCCCACTACTCAGGTAAACATTTTGCTTTGTACTTTTCATCTTTTTGTTTCTATGCACTTATTTCCATATGGTTGTTATTTATCAAGGAAATGTATTTTGCAAATAGTGGTTTTGATTTTTAAAAGTTAAATTGTTTTAATAGTTAAATTGTTTGCTTCATTTACTTTTCATAAGCATTCATTAAGATGTTGGGTCAATTTTTTTATTTTTTTTCACAGCTATTTCTGTTCTTGGTTGAAAAGCTCTCTTCCCATGTAACTCTGCTGGGCTTTGATTATATGTTTTATTCAGTTAAATTTGTTATAACCCTTAAAATGATAATCAAGCAAAAGTCAGAAATTAGTTTAAGTCTATTCTCTCTCTCTCTCTCTCTCTCTGGTGATAGTGGTACTAGGGATTGAACTTAAGTCATCAAGTTTTCTAGATAGATGATCTACTTCTTGAGGTAGAATTTCACTTTATGCCTAGGCTGGCCTGGGCTGTGATTTTCCTAGTGTTTCTGGGAATAACAGATGAGCTGCTGCACCCAGCCATTGGTTGAAATGGATTCTTGTGAACTTTTATACCCAGACTGACCTTGAACTACAATCCCTCAATCTTTTCCTCTCAAGTAGCTAGAAATACAGGCTTGAGCCATTGTGCCAGGCTGAGAACTGTATCTTTTTCTTTTCCTGTAGGCCTTGTTTTTTTTCTCAGAGCCATAATTTGGTAAATTTTGCAAGATCCGCCGTGATAATTTTCAGGTAGTATAAATTAAATGCCAGTGTGCTAATTAACTTTTCGATTCTTTCTAGAATCGAAAATAATTCTTTTTAGATTATAGAAATATGTTTTAAATATTAGGAATATTATAAATACCTTCTAAACATTTTTGAAACTAATTAGATCTTAGCTATAAAAGTATATTCAGGAAAATAGAATTTATGTTTGTAATGTATTTGTTCTGAATGCAGGCCAAAATGTACTGATGGTTATTGGTGATTGTTTTGCAGACTTCAAAGGAAGATCTTCTGCAGGCTGATTTTGAAGGTGCTTTGAAGTTTTTCAGAGTTCAACTTCCAAAGAGGTACAGGGCAGAGGAGAATGCCAGGAGATTGATGGAGCAGGCTTGCAATATTAAAGTAAGATCTTGAACTTATTTATGTATGTTAAAGGTATAGCTTTAATACAGAATAACACAAGAGTATTCAACTCCTATCTTACTGTGTTTAAGGTGAAGTATATGAAGTAATCTCGCCCTTTTTCCTCATTCAAAGATGTAGAGCCTGCTATACCTTCTAGTATAATTTAGGGTGAAAGGTGGCAGGTCCCGACTGTAACAATCGGGTGACAAACATTTATCTTCTAGATGGGGGCTCCAGAATGGGCTGCTATAATAGTGGTTTCCATGACAGCAGACTTGGTATTTTGCTTTGCCATCTGTTTAAAGATTATTTAGGACAGAGCAAGAAAAGCCTGTTTAGCCAATGCAATGCTTTCCTTTATCTAAGGGATATGAAAAAGTTTGAGTCTTATTCTATTTCCTTCCCACATGTGCCAAATGTCTTCATATACACTAGCACATATCATATATATGACTTAAAAATGCTTTAACTGAATTTAAATTGAAAATATGAAGTTTTGGTATTAGGTTAGAAAGCATACTTTTAAAATATTTGAAACTAATTTACTGATAATAGTTCTTGTATGTCCGGAATATATTAGGAGTTCTTCTTACCCATGGCATAAATCTAAATTTGTCTCCTAAACAGACCCACACGTACATTTTTGCAGAAGAAGAGAGACAATAAACAACATAATAAGTAATTTAATATCTTAGAAGGTGATAAATAATTGTGGGAAATAAAATCTATAGAAAAACAATAATAAATAAATTTTTGGGGGGAGAAAGGTTATGATTGTTATTAGTTTGGTAGCCCTTACTCAGAAAATGAGTGCTAAAGGTATTTTTTAAAGAAAAGAAGAAATGAATGAGACACAGGATAACTCATAGAGATGACTGGAAAAAACCTTCCAAGCAAAGGCAACTGCTTGAACAAAATGGAAACTGCCAAAGGCTCTGAGACCAGTTCAGGTTTGGTAGGTTAAGGAACAGTGTGCCTGAATTGAAAGAAATAAGAATAGTAAGAATAGATGTTAGAATGCTCACTAAAAGCATTGAAGGTAGGAACCCTTGAAGGATTTTGAGTGGAAGAGTCTAGATTTTTAGAAGATGATGATGTTGTTTAGATAAGAATGAGTAAGACCATTAGGGAGATCAAATAGTATTCCCTTTCACAGATGATGACACATTAAACCAGGTTGGCAGTAATCATGATGGGATGGAGATGCAGGTGGTTGGCACCTGGGTATATCCTGAAGATTTCATCATGTGTTACAAGTAATGTCACATGCAAATTTGAACATTTTTCAAATTACATTTGAACTTTTTAAAAATAATTTTCATCAGATTTCCTTTTGTCTACGCGTTCAGTATTTATATTAGGTTGAATTGGTGGAATTGTAATTCTTACTGTTCAAGAAGTTCAGATATTAGATATATTAGAAATCATATATGATTTCGCTCAATATGCTTTTTAAAATTTATTTTTATTTATTTATTTATTGTCAATTGTAGGGCCTGAACTCTGGGCCTGAGCACTATCCCTGAGCTCTTCAGCTCAAGCTAGCGCTCTACCACTTGAGCCATAGTGCTACTTCTGGCTTTTTCTGCTTATGTGTTGCTGAGGAATCGAACCCAGGGCCTCATGCATACAAGGCAAGCACTCTACCACTGAGCCACCTTCCCAGCCCAATATTATTCTTTATAATTAAAATAGGTGTCATATCTGTGAATGATAAAAACATAGATTGACCTAGTATTACTAAAATAATTTGAGCAAAATTAGAACTACCTAGTCTATCATTAATTTCAAAGAAAACTTCAAAAAAGAAAAGCATTTACTGAGGAACTCTGTAAGAGGAGGTAAAGACTAGGATGAAACCTGAAGACTTTTTAATTCATATTGTATCTAGGCATGGGAAAGGATGCTCCATGCAGAAGATAAGCATAGATGAGAAAAACATGGAATGTTCAAGACCTAAATATAGTCATGATTGATATTAAGGTGTAAGGAGAAAGAGGCAGCAATCTGGATTTGGAATTGGAGATGAAAATGATCAGATTTGTATTTTTTGAAAAAATGATTCTGGCTGCTGTGTGGAAAATTGATTGAAAGTATAAAATGAGATGTTGGTGACATACTAAATATGCTTCATTATCTAGGTATAACTACAGGCTTGTGTGTGTGTGAGAGAGAGAGAAAGAGAAAGAAAGAGAGATATAAGATATGCAAGAGTCATAATCAAGAGATCTTAGTAATTAAATATGAGTATTAGGGCAGAGGAAGCAATCCAGTAATGACACTCAACAGTGTTCCTTAGGCAACTTGACAGTAATCACACTGAGAAAGGAATCAAACAAAAACAAATTGCATGAATAGGACTTAATGAGTTCAGTTTTGAGTATGTTAAGTTTGTGGTTCATGTTCACAAACTCATACCCAAGTAAATATCAATATCCAACAGATAAGTGGATATGAAGTAAGAACTGAGCCAAAAGTGAGGGCATTTTGATAAAGGAGTGTGCAGAGTGAACAGAGAAAAGGGCTGAGAATAGATATATTCATAGATTTTTTTTAAAGGGCTGAGTAATAGAAGTTGGCAAGACTAAGAAGATGGGAAGAAATGCATCATGTCAGTGATTCCTAGAAGTCATGTAAGGTACTAAAAAGTTCTGATAGTCTTTAGGGGGAGCTGTTTCAGTGGAGTGGTGCTGTATAACAACCAGCAATTATAAGAGTAAACATGAGATAATTAAGTGGAGAAATGAGATGAAGCAATTGTTTGAAAAGATTATAAGGAAAGGATGGGAAATGGAAGAGATAGCCAACAAGCCAGAGAGTAAGTATGGGCAAGGAGAAGACATGAGGCTAAAATGGATGGAATGGGAAATAGGAAAGATGAATCTTTAACTGCCAAAGAAAAACAAAACGCAATGAATTCTAATGTCTCAACTAAGTATCTGCTATATGCCAGGTACTGTATGAAATTCAGAGACTGAGATTGTGAAAAAAGCAGATATGCTCTCTGAACTTATGGGGTTTACAGTACTGTGGGGAAGATATTAATTACATAATCATATTTATAAACAAATTTACAAAATGAGGTAAATACTTAGAAGAGATATAATAAGGATATATGAGTTTAATTGGGGTTAATGAAGTACAGTGAGGCCAGAGCTGTGGTATATCATTAGACTGTGGGAGACAAAAGAAAGGAAAGGAGGTATGCTTGATTTGCTTGATTTTTGAGAAATTTTCTTTTGCCAATTTCTGTGGTATAAATACTCCCTCTCTGGACGGTTTTAAGCTATCAGTGACCTAGCATATGCATCAAATAATTTCTGAATATTAACAGCCATTACTCCAGAGTTAGTAGCTGCTGACTTTAGCATACCTCAGGATCATGAGGCTAGTTGGGCAAGAGTGGTTGTCAGAGTGGATAATGGATTTTAGTAGAAAAGAAAGTAGAGACAGATGGGGGTGAAGACACTGCAAGAGGGGGAAGGCAATAAAGAACTGTTATGCTCTATAGATAGGAAGAACGGTGATTTGTTTGTAGTTACCCAAGGAGGAAAAGTATTTGCTTTGGAAAATTCTAAGCTCTTATGGAATTATAACTCCTTTGTGCAGCTACTTAATGATGATGGCGATGATGATGATTCTAAGCTATATTCCAGCTCATTTACTTATATATGGTATTGGACAATTTCCATCCTCTCAGAATGGATGAATACAATTTGATTCTACCCTTCACAAATCATGGTTTTAATGAAATAACAGTGAATTTCTTTTTCTTTTCTTTCTTTTTTTTTTTTTGTCAGTTGTGGGGCTTGAACTCTGGGCCTGGGCGCTGTCCCTGAGCTCTTCGGTTCAAGTGCTCTACCACTTGAGCTACAGTGCCACTTCTGGTTTTCTAGTGGTTAATTAGTGTTAAGAGTCTCATGGACTTTCCTGCCCCAGCTGGTTTTGAACCATGATCCTCAGATCTCAGCCTCATGAGTAGCTAGGATTATAGACATGAGCCACTGGCGCCCGGCTAGTACATTTCTTTATCTTATCATGTTTTCTCATGGAAGATCTCCCTATGTATTTGTAACCATGGGTTTTAATTTATTTGAAAATAACTTTTCTTATAGAGCAAATCTATAAAGAGCATTCTTTTCTGTCTTAATTTTTTATTGTGAAGATACTAGATAGAGGAGTTACAGTTTCTCTTTTTTTGCATGGTATAAAGTTTAAGGCACCATTCTTATAACCAGCAGGGTCTTGCTTGTTTCACCTTAGCCCTGACCACTCCAGGACATACCAACAAGTGAAAGAAGCAGGTCAAATGATAACAAATAGGACATAAAACAATTTATGTTTTTGAATGGAGAAGAAGCCCAAAAATAAATTTGTATTTTTCTTTGATATATTAAAGAACAATCTTACTTGAGGCAAAGAACTTCCAGTTTCTTCATGCTGTTCACTATTTACTGCTAGCTATTGTGCTGTACATGTATGAGTTGAGTTGGAGTCATATATATCAATATATAAAAACTATCTAAACAAGAAATACTGTTCTGCAAGGCCCTTAGTCAGGAAGGCATTTGACCTTTTACAAAGAGCAAATAGACAGATACAGATAGAGAAAAATAAAGGTGGAAATGAAGCCAGGACCTCAAAGGCCTTAGTTAGAAATTTGAATTTCATCTTAAATACAGTGTAAATCTTTTGAAGGTTTTTCAGAAGATTACCTGACTCCAGTGAGAAAGAACAGATAGAATATAAAAGAAGAACACCGTGCTACAGGTGGATGTTATCTAGAGGCTTGGATTAAAGAGAATTGGAAGAAATTCATAGATTTAAGGTATATCTTAAAAGAAGGATACAAGCTGGATGCCTTTAATACCTCTAATCTTGTCTACTCAGGAGGCTGAGATTTAAGGATCATGGTTCAAAGCCAATCTGAGCAGGAAAGTCTATGAAAGAAACTTTTATCTACATTTAACCACCAAAAAAGTCAGAAGTAGAGTGGT